ATATGTCAAATAAAGAATATAAATTATTGCATATGCCTTACAAAATGTCTACGATGCAATAGATCATTGTGTAAATTTTGTTAACGGTGCTTATTTTCAAATATATTTTACATTTAAAAATGTTTACATAATTGTGGCAATATTCAAAAGATTTTAATCAGAAAATTTTAATGATTCTTTTAACGAATAGCAATCAATAAATTAATTTTCATTGACTTTTGCAATATGAATTAAAACAATAATTTTGAAATGGATGTTTCATACACTTTAATTATTTGAATCAAAATGATTGAGAATAGAAATTACGAATAATTGTTTCATTGCAATATTTACATACAATAATTATTGAAATTATTTCGAGCATTTCAACAATGCGTTTCGAACACTGCATTGTAAGTTAAATATATTTTATTTATTTTTCTCTCTCCCTCTCTCTCTCTTAAATGAAAAATACACAAATCGCCGTAAGTAAGTGATTTAAATTCTGGAAAACTGTATTAAACGTTTGATAATAAAATTAATTCCAAGTAGGAAGAATAGATTAGGAGTAAATCTATGTAGAAAAGCATTAAACATTTCGTAACAAACGAACGGTACAACCTTGTTTTGATAGCGACACATTACGGCATATATACATACATTACGGCATATATACATACATACAAGGTCGCTACGCGTCGTCTTATCATTCGCTGAAACTCAAACACAAGGTAGTGATCTGCTCCGCGTGAAACCTTGGTATTTACTATTGTCGGCACTATAAATGTCGGTCCACAATAAGTATTTAATTTTTACGTCGTAAGAAATTGACCAATCATAGTCGATTATTCTTTTCATATTCGATTATAATTGGTCAATTTCTTACTTCTTAAAGCTTAAATCACCTATTGTGGACCGACACTAAGGCACGTTATGTTTACGCAAGGTCATCGTGCTATCATTCATACAGTAAAGCTCGGGCCGAGCAGACGTAAGAGTACAAACTGCTCTATGTGTCGTCATATTACTATTCTTTAGAAAAGCAATTTTTCTCTGTGAACAATTGACGATTACCACTGAGTTTGTAATGTTTATGTATGATTACGAAGCGGTCTGAAATGATTTGATTAAATTATTTATTAATTACTATTTCTCACAATCTATTCCTTTCAAGAATTAGAATTCGAAAATTCTTGTGCTTCAAAATGTTGAATATAACTAACTTTAACTCGAGAAATTAATACGAAGAAAGAAGTATAAGAGATGTATGCATTGATTGTTCGCTACGTAACGTATATAACGTGTGTATTTTGTAGAATTTAAGTTTAAAATATACAATAAGCATTGAATTTTTCGATTTATGTATCTTTAAACAGTTTAGTTTGTTAGTTTTGATAATTTATTAAATCGATCTTATTGTTAATAATTGTAATTGCAGTATCAAATTTGTCGATTTCCGAATATTTCGACCATTATTAAAAGAATATTGCAGTACACGATCAATTGATTTCAAATTGTGACGCGATGTTTTCAATTATTAATATATTATTCACAATTGTTATCAATTACATATTTAAATATATTTTAATTTTCATCAATTGTATCATATAGATTTGATTTTTTTCACACTTGTGATTTATTGACTCGTATATTTCGTGAGATTTACTGAAATCTATTGGGACACGAAATGGTTATACGATCATATTTTCGGATTACGTTTCGTTGGATCTTTATATTTAATTTTAACTCGCATGTTTATTCTATCGCCCAAAAACGTGAGCGTTCGGAATGTCGTGTGCAGAATGTCACGTGATTGACATATTTCGGTAATTAGTGTGAATGACTATATTTAATCGTGTTTTCGGGTGTTATGTGTTGTGTGCATACCGTAAAGTGAATCAACGGTGAGGCTGTAGAGGAGGAAAAGAAAGAAGAGGCATTATATTGGTGAGTATCTAATTATTGTTAAAATTTTATAAAATAAATTTTATAAAAACGGAAAGAAAGCATGTGGTATCTTTTCTTTGCCGAATATTTAAATAGAGAAGGATTTAAGCTATATCTCGACTCTGAGGTACAGAATTCACAAACATAATTTACCAATGCTTCGAAATTATCGAGCTTTATCTTTCGCGTTTAAAGAGGAATCTCCGGTATGTCGACTACGCATAGTTGGCTCGAGTTTGCAGCTCGCTCGTAGTAAACGAGTACCGTCCTGCATTTGGGAGTGAAGCATTCGCGTGCGTAAACAGGTTCCGTTGAATTGTCGAGACGAAATCGTTACTTTATGATCGGAAGTATCCGGATACTTCGACGATCGCGCATTAATTTCCGTTTCAACTTACATCGCACTGCTCTTTTCTCCAAATCAATCGAAAAGAAACTTTATGCAATCGCGTTCGTCTGAATGGAAATTGTAAAAAGGAAATTTAGAAATAAGAGAAAAAGTATATGAGACAACATTCGGTCTTGTTTGCTTTGAATTTGATTGAATAATACATGATTATAATAGAGAATTCAACCTAGCAACGATAGATACGTATGTTTGCCGGAACACAGAGCCGTCACTATGTGACTTTAATCACGTTTGAAATACCCTTATCGTCATTGATACTTCGAGTTTTGTCGGCGTGACAGCCTGACTTAATCTGTGTCCTTAAAGCAGACTTTATATTATAGAAAATTTTAATTTGGTGATAATTTATTAGAGGACTTTTATGGACTGCTTAAATTGGTACAGATGATCGTTTCGCGATATAAACGATGGAAAAAGTTGTGGGTGATGGGTTTACGGCTGACCCGACAATTTTCGACAGCTAAACTTCAAGCGTCGGTGCGACCGCAAAGTTTCGTTATTTATAGGCCAACTCGAGTCTGTTCTGGGGTGCGTTCACCGCGCGATCGCAGCCAGATTCCAGCGTTTATTATGTTACGCGACGCGTGGTACTATGTTATGCGAAGAAATTCGCGCAACTGAATTTGTTCACACATGTGGGCCGCATATTGACGTCGACGAAATTAAATTTTTGGATACCATTCTAAACGTGATATCCGATATTTTGACTTGAATCTCACTTAGGAGGCCACTTAGGAGTTGTGGAGGTTTCTATCTATAATATTCACGTCGCATCATATTAGTTATCACGATTTCTTTGAATATCGTTCCCACCATGTACAAAAATGCTTTTCTATAAAGCATAGGGCATAGCATTGTGTGATATTTTATATTACAACCTAAGCTTTCGGCGACGGTAAAAAAAAAAGAGTTATTTTTACACGGAAGAAATCTTTACCGAAGCATTTGACTCATTTCAGAAATCTTATTATCGATGTATCATACTTTATTTAAAAGCGCAAATTTTGGCAATGACGTGGGAGAAAAATGTGACGTATGCTTCATTGGAAAAGTTTTTTCTAGATAGATGACGACAATGTGTATAAATATAAGTTAGATATGTGTGATATTTTTGCTAAGTTTATTGTATTGGTATTCTTTAATCTACTTTTCATTTATAATATTTTAATAAAGCAATCACATAAAAATATTAATTTTTATTTACTTTTATTTATTTGTTATTCTTAAAATTATAAGTTTTATTTTATCAATAGATTATACATATTATTAATGTAAAGTATAGATTTTCTATGCAACATCAACGTTATCCGAAAGTAATAAAAGAATAACAGAGTTGCTAAATGATCATAAAACATGATCATAAAATATTATTGTGCCGGTCTCAAAGGAAGTTAGGGAGTCTTGCAACCGTTTATGACATCCATAGAGCATACGACATTGAACTTAATACGTTTAATGACTTCCAGTTGTGATTGAAACGAACGCAAACACATTGTATCATACAAAACAGCTATGATGATGCATGTTAATAAAAGTCGCAATAGATCATTAATTTATTTTCAAAAATTATTTAAAAAATTTAAAATTTTAAAAATTTAAACAATTTTTTAAAATTATTTTAAAAAATTACAAAATTGTTTTTAATAATAATTAAATAATAAATAATTATATTTTACTTGTAAAATTATATACGATTTTATTTCTACAGATGTTTCAATTATTTCTCACAAGAAAGATATGCTACATTGACAATTTTAATTCTTATTATACAACAACGTTTAATTATTAATATCAGAATAAAAAGATGTTCAATCACACATATGAAAAAAATAGAGACAATATATATCTATGTGAAATGTAATAATTTTACTCAGTAATATAACAAAATTGTTTTTATATGAATGTTTTATTCTTAATATAATTTTTCTCATTATAATGTACGTTAATAAAAAATTGCAATATCGACTATTATACTGTCATATAAGAATTTTTATCTTTGTCTCATAGACTTCAATATAACATGAAATAAATGAAAAGAAAAATTAATTAATATATTTGTGGGGCTATTTTGCAGTCGTCATAATTCGTTATATATTAAATATTTATATAACGAATCATAAAGAGCAAATCCACAATATTAAATTATTTGAATGTTACGAAAGTCAAGTAATATTATCAAGTCGAAAAGAGTCACAAATGATAAATTGATTTTTTTAAACAAAAAATGTTCATTTATGAAAATAGGCAAATCATTAAGATACACTTAAGTTAATTTTGAAATATGATCTAGTACCTAGCTGCGTTTCCTCATTGCAGTCATAGAATTTCACACGTGTCTATTTAGCAAATGTTTTTGTTGGCATTACGGTACATACATTAGAGTCTATCAGTAATGCTTTCGAAAGAAGTGTCGGCTATATTTGTTTAAAGATCTTAAAAATAATCAGATTGATTTTTTTATGATATTAAGTGATAAAGTGTAAAATGATAAAACGATAAAATAATAAAATAATTTAATAATAAATATCAAACAATGCTGACTTTGCCTTATTTATTTTATTTTTTATTTTTCACATGGTAAAATGTGATTTAAAAAAAAATTATCAATCAGAACAAAAAAGATATCTCTGTAAAGATTTCTACGAAATTATTAATGAAAACTCACCTAGAACGCAAGACGTAAAAAGAACTCGAAGGACGAACTTCTTCATGGTATGAGGATCTTTGATAGCGCCGGTACGTAAACGTCGATTTCGGCGGCACATTGAATCAGGATAAAAAGAGGCGACGCGATTTACGTCAAAAACACGCGTTCTTAACTATATTTAGACGGCACTTCAATAATAGCGCCGGTTGTACCGAGGAAGAGCGGTACTGGAGAACAGTGAAGACTGTTTGCCCTGGCACCGAAGCAAATCCTTCCGGTCTCGTTACACCAGCTATATCGTGATGCCGTGCAATCGGGGGCCAATTTGATTTTTCTATTAGAAGATGTTCGGCCGATAAAACGTCGCAAGCAACTGATCCCG